GGGGGGGGGTCCCACAGAAGGGGTGCTGGGGGTCCCAAGGATTGGATTTGGGGATTTTTGGATTCTGGGATTTGGGGATTTTGGGATTTCGGGGTTCTGGGATTTTGGGATTTTGGGGTTCTGGGATTTTGGGATTTTGGGATTTTGGGGTTCTGGGATTTGGGGATTTTGGGATTTTGGGGTTCTGGGAAGGGGTGCTGGGGGTCCCGGGGACATCGTGCTGGGGGGTCCCGGTGTTGAGTTTTCGGGTGTCCCAATACTGGAGTCATGAGGATCCCCGGGATGGGGTTCTGGGGGTTCCAGTGCTGGAAATGGGGTGCTGGGGGTCCCCAGGTCCGGGGTTCTCGGGGATGGGGGTTCCCAACATGGGGTGCTGGAAATGGGGTGCTGAAGGTGCCGGTGTCCCATGGAGAAGGTTTTGGGGTCCCCAGGATGGGGTTCTCGAGGATGGAGATCCCCGGGATGGGGTGCTGGGGGTTCCCGGGATGGGGTTTCGGGGTCTCCCAGTCCTGGGGATTCCCGGGATGGGGTTCGGGGTGTCCTGGTCCTCGGATTCTGGGGGTCCCTAGGATGGGGCGCTGGGGGTCCCAGTCCTGGGAGTCCCCTGGATGGGGTGTTGGTGATCCCCAGCTCCGGGGTTCTCAGGGATGGGGGTCCCCAGCTCCGGGATTCTCGGGGATGGGGGTCCCCAGCTCCGGGGTTTTTGGGGATGGGGTTCCCCAGGTCCGGGGTTCTTGGGGATGGGGGTTCCCAGCTCCGGGGTTTTTGGGGATGGGGTTCCCCAGGTCCGGGGTTCTTGGGGATGGGGGTCCCCAGGTCCGGGGTTTTTGGGGATGGGGGGTCCTGGTTCCGGGGTTTTTGGGGATGGGGGGTTCCTGGTGCCGGTGTTTTCGGGAATGGGGGTCCCCAGCTCCGGGGTTCTCAGGGATGGGGGGGTCCTGGTGCCGGTGTTTTTGGGGATGGGGGTCCCCAGCTCCGGGGTTTTCGGGGATGGGGGTCCCCAGGTCTGGGGTTTTCGGGGATGGGAGGGTTCCTGGTGCCGGGGTTCCGGCTGTCCCGGCTGTCCCCCACACCGTGGCCTGTCGCAGCGGAGTGTCGCTGGCCCGCGCTCACTTCGAGAAGCAGCCCCCGGCCAACCTGCGCAAATCCAACTTCTTCCACTTCGTGCTGGCCATGTACGACCGCCAGGGCCAGCCCGTGGAGGTGGAGCGCACCTGCTTCATCGACTTCGTGGAGAAGGAGAGGGTGAGAAACCCCCCAAAAAAACCCCAAAACCCCCTCAAAACCTCCCCAAACCACCCCAAAACCCCCGCGGGGCGGAGCGGCCGCGGCTGAGGACGGAGCGCGGCCCCAGCTCATCGCATGAGGATGGGGAGGGGACACGGAGTGACCCCAGGAGGGTGCGGAGGGGACACCGAATGACCCCAGGAGGGTGCGGAGGGGACACGGAGTGACCCCAGGAGGGTGCGGAGGGGACAC